AAGCAGGCCCTGTTATAATCCATCTGTCCAATCCCCTTTTCTTTCAGGGTTTCTTTTCCTAAGACCCGTGTATCTAACATCCCTTATACCCTTTTAGTCCTCAGCATTCATGTCCAAGAGGGGCACCTCCTACAAGACCCCATTGCTCTTCTGGAAGTGGTTGAGCTGCTCCAAGCAGGAATGTCACCCTTAAGGCATGGCGCACTAGAATGACAGCTACTCTCTCTTTCCCTTTCCTGTGGAGACATAAACAATGCCCTCCCCGTGGGTGGATTAGTGACTGGGCAGTATTTTATACTGTTTTATGATGGGACTGCTGTGAGTCAGAACTGACATGACAGTGTCTACGAGTAACAACAACAAGGCATGGAGACCACACAATACTGGAATCTATTTTGTAGTCTCATGAGATGGGACAATATGTGTTAGATAAAAAGCAATTGAGTAGAACTTGGGTTTCAGTCATAACCTCTCAATAATAATGAGTTGTGGGCTTTAGACATGTCACATCATTTGGGGGGGTTCTCACTTTTCTAATGGGTAGAATCTATACTCAGTATTTTACCTTGTACAAATGATGGCTTTGTCCTTGGCCCTGGCTTAACCTTATGAACTGGAAGAAATTAGGATTGGCATATAGGCCTATATGTTTTACAATTCAGTTCATGAAATTCTAACATTCACACAGCCAATGACTTCTGTGATCCACAAAAATAGAGAAAAGATTAACATATTGCTGTATTAAGGTGAATTTTATGGAAGAAAGAAATCTCATGGATGTGTGGTATTGACATTTTCAGAGCTCTGTTTCTGGTATAAAGAAGAAAGTGCTTTTAGCCTACTTAAAAGCTATAATCTAGTTACAAAACAGGTTGCACAATATGATTCAGTTTCTTAAAGAACATGTATAGAGCTACACATACCAAGGTAATATTGGTATTTATCTCTCCATGGTAATTTCCTTTTCTTTGATTATCAGTATTTTCTCATTTTCCACTGTGCACATAACTTGCTTTTGTAATAATAAGGCAAAACCAGTATTTGGAATCCTCCTTCACTGTCTCACAGTCTTTTAAAGTTTCTTGGTCTAGGAAATAATTCATCATACAACACTCCAAATCCTTTTATGAATAGCCAGGAGGAAAAGCATTCATAATTTCTGAGCAGGTCTTCCAAGCAGAACAATTTTCTTTTTTCTAGTAACGTCTGTGTCAGTCTTTTCAAGCTTCTTTATTGAGACATCTTTAGGTCACTCTCCTTAACTGGCAGTCTTTCTCATCAAGATGCAAGATGTGCTCATCTTGCCAAGATAGGGTTTTCCAGCTCAGATTCACCTGCGTTTCCTGAAACCAGCTACGGAGGTTTTTACCCTGAGTGCCTGTCACAGCTAGAGGAAAGCAGAATAGTACGAAGAGTGGAAGGCATGGGTTCAAGTCCTGCCCCAGGTTGAATCAAGACTCTGCCACTTTCAAACTGTGGGATCTTGACACCATCACTCAATCTCACCCACTGTCAGCTTCTTAATCTGAAAAATAGATTTATTAATACCTACCAAAGGAGCTGTTGGATAAATGTTTCACTGCTAACCTCAAGGTCTGCAGTGCAAACCCGCTTGCTCTATGGGAAAAAGATGAGGTCATCTGCTCCCCCCAAAGCCGTGTGGCCCCAACAACCCCTTTATATCTGTGTTGTTATGCGTCAGGATCCACTTGAGGGCAATGAGTTTTGGGTGGGGAACACCTACATCACAGTGTTGTTTGGATTAAGTGAGATCACATGTTAAGTAGCTTATTTGGTGCCTGGGGAATAAAAGTTGCTAATTAGAATGTGAGGAGCCCTGATGGCATTGTGGGTTACGCACTGGACTGCTGAGGTCTTGTTAATTACTTAATATGACCCTTCTAGCCACAGTCCTCTCTTCTGGATGCTTTTGTGCATTCTAGCCTCTATGACTGGGTGTTCAATCCCATTTTGGAGTGAGGTCTATTATGCTAATGGGGCAGAATTAAGGTGGGGTATGCTTTGACTTAAGTCACCACGCTTTCTTTCCTAGAAGGTATGATTTATAGATTAGCCTTCACTTCTGATATCTTTATTAAAACAGAACTGTGTTAAAACAGCACTTAAGTTGTTTCCTCACTAGACAACCTGCCAGCTGCCTGCTTAATTGAGCAAAGTAGGAGGCTGGGGTCATGGTCTTGCTGAGACTGGATCTTGCCCACCTGTGCACAGAAGTGATCTAAATGCTCTCTACCTAAACTTTGGACGTCAGCACCTAAATCCATGCTTCCATCAAAGGCCCAGTTATAAGCAAGACATCATCTTTGGGACACCCCTACCCCATCACTGCATGCTCCCCACACTACCACTCCCTCAATCCCCATGACCCCGACACCCACTTCTGAAGTGAGCATGTGCAGAAGATTAGTGTTGAGTCATCAGATGAGAAATATGAATCAGAAACCATCTATCAACCTAAGATTATCATTGGTCCAGAACTAAGTTAGCCATTGTGACCAGTGCTGACAACTTTGAAAAAGCTCACTTTTTTGTGTGTGTATTTAATAAAGGGTCATATTTACTGATAAGAATATGGTCATATCTACCAAAGTACCCACAAGATATTTTCAAGCATGCCCATAACACTTTCTTGCTTTGGGTTCTGCAGCTATCTTGCCTCCACCTCAGCTTCCTTCTTGGGACTTTAGCTGGAAGCCTGCCACCCGACCTGATTCACCAGCGTCCAAAGCATTGAGCCAACAGCCTATGTTGGTGTGAATGAGAATTCTACAGATGGACATAGGAACTTCAGATTTGGCACTTACCAGCCTCCACACCGACCTATTTCCTTGATGGTTCATGAGTTCCGTAAGACATTACAGTGAATAATGTAGTTCTGGAATGTGAGGGAGAGCTGAGGAGAGGAGAGGTGGTTGATCTCAGGGATGGTGGAGTGGTATTCCATTGTACTCATTACTAGGGAGTCTGTTTTAAATTGTAGCAATCCTATAAAGCAGGGTAGAACTGCTCCAGTGAATTTCTGAGACTGTACACCATTACAGGAATAGAAAGCCTCATCTTTCTCCCATGGTACAGCTGGTAATTTTGAACTTCGGACTTGTGGTTAAGAGCACAAGGCTTAGCCCACTAGAGCACCAGGATTCATTAACAGTGATCTGACACAAATTAAGCTGGATACATAAGAAGAGGTGAAACAAAAGATGTCATGCCTGCCATCAAGAGAAATGATTGCTGATATCAGATGGATCATGGTTCAATGTAGGAAATTCCAGTTAATTTTAACTTGTGGTTTACGGATTATGAAAAAGCATTTGGTTTACGGACCATAATCAACCATGGATAGCATTGAGAAGAATGAGCATTCCAGAACTGTTCTTGGTGGTCATGCTGAAGCTCCACATGGATCAAGAGACAGTTGTTCCAACCGAACAAAGGAATAGTGCATGGCTTAAAATCAGCAAAGTGTGAGTCTGGGTTGTATCCTTTCACCGTACATATTCAATCTGTGTGCTGAGCAAATAATCAGAGAGTAAGATGAACTGTATAAAGAAGTATGTGACATCAGAATTGGAGGAAGGCTCATTAACAACTTCCAATACACAGCTGAAGCAACCTTGCTTGCTGAAAGTGGAGTGACTTGAATCACTTGCTGATGTAGATGAAGGATTGCAGTCTTCAATATGAATTACAACCCAATGCAAAAAAAAAAATTCCTCACAACTGAACCAATAGTTAACATCATAATACATGGAGAGAAAAAATGAGGTTGTCAAGGATTTCATCTTGCTTGGGACTACAACTGTTGCTCATGGAAGCAGCAGTCAAGAAATCAAAGGACATACTACATTGGATAAATCTGCTGCATGAGATCTCTTTAAAGTATTGAAGTATAAGGATGTCACTTTGAGGACTAAGGTGTGCTTGAGTAAGTCATAGTTTCAATCTCCTCATTTACATGTGAAAATTGGACATTGAATATGGAAACCTAAGAGTTGATGCATTTGAATGATGGTGTTGGAGAAGACTATTATCAATGCCATGGTCTGACCAAAGGGAAGACAGATCTGTCTCCTGAAGTGCAACCAGAAGGCTCTCTGAAGGTGAGGATGGTGAGACTTCATCTCACAACCTTTGGATATGCTCTCAGGAGAGACCAGTCCCTGGAAAAGGACATCATCCTAGGTAAAGTAGAAGGGCAGAGAAAAAGAGGAAGACCCTGGACGAGATGGAGTAACCCGGCGGCTGCAACAATGGGTTCCACCAGAGAAAACAATTGTAAAGATGGCGCAGGACTGGCAGCGTTCCAGTCTGTTGTAGAGTCTGTCACCAAGAGTCGGAGCCAAGGGCACAGAACCTAACAATAACAGCATGGCACTTTGGAAAACTTGGACATTTGGGACATCTTTAACTTCTACCTCCTTTATTACCCCCACTAAAAGAAGCTGTTATTGCAGGTCCTGGCAGAAAGGTAGGTGGATTGAACCCAACAGTCATTGCCCAGAAGAGAGTTGCCCCAGACTTACTCCATAAAGATATCTTGGGACCCTATGGAGCAGTTCTGCTCTGTCCTACAGAGTCATTACGAGTCAGAATTGGTTTGACAGCAGTGGGTGAGTAATAGGAGTGTGGGAAGGATGGATAATAGGTAACTCTAATTAAGTCTTTAAAAAGTGTTCAGTCTATTTCCAAATAAGTTCATAAATTTTATTTTTCATGTCAGTACAGTATAAAATCTTCTCCCATCCTTATCAGATATTTCTTATCTCAGAAATAAATAAATATAGCCAAATATTTAAGGAGCTTTTCTTCTTTGATTTTTTTATGTCAAAACTCAACCTACACAATTTATCAATTTGAAATTCTCTTAAATGCCCAAATGAGCAATTTCTACCTGTTCATGAAAAGATTATTATTTCTCAGAAGTAGAATGAGTATCTAATTAATCTAACTATAAAAGAAAGCAATTTTGAGCTGGAAGAAAATTTAGAAACAGCCACATCTTTTATTATACTCATGTCTATTACAAGCATTAATGTTTATATATTCAAAATACCAAGTTTTAAATTACTAATACTGAAACAAAAACAAACATTATTAAGCTTAGTATTCAAATGAGATGACAGGATCTATTAAAACATAAGCTTAACATGTCTTAAATAAATTACCCATGTTGATGGCAATGTCTACATGTGTCTTATAATAATATCTACCTTGAAGAATTATTGTGAGAAATAGATGAGTGTACATAAAGCAGGTTATAGAACCTGAATTTAAATGTTTATTTAATATTTTTCAATTTTAGTATCCTTATAGTTTCTTACTAAAAAAATACCAATATTAGAAATCCATTATCCTTGGTGGTTCTGTGAGAGACCTTTCACCTCTCAAAGTTTTCTTTAATGAAAATTACATCAGAACAGATTAAACTCACATGAGCATGGCAATTGAGTCTGGTCTGCTTTCAGCTTACTGATTTACTACTTAATTCCTCTAGCCATCACCTTGGACAACTCAGAAGAGAACTGCGTCCATTTCCTTTCTCCTGCTTTCCCACTCTGGGAGTCATACGGAGCCATCCTCACAGGCATTCCTGTGTTGGAGCCCCTTGTAGCAGCCGCTGTATCAAGTCACTTCCTTAAAGGTTGAAGGTTGTCCTCTTTTCTGCCGCCGTTCTTCATTGGCAAGCGGGTGTTCTTCTCCAGGCCTCTCCTAAAGACATGTCCACAATACATGAGACAAATTCTTAGCATCCTCTTTTTTTAGGGAACATTCTGGTTATACTGATTTCAGGACAGACTCCTTTATTCTCTCTTGTAGCCCACAATATATTTAATAGTATTCACTAATGCCAATTTAGCATTAATTAGAGGCATGAATTCATCTATATGCCTTATTCATTACTTGCACATCAGACCTTGTCCATATGTTCTGACAATGAGATGTAAACCAAAGTATTCCAAAATAAGTGCTTTAAAAATAGCTAATATTTGTTCTTTCCTCCCTCTCTTCCTTATCGATTCTTTGTTCGTGTTGGCACGAGGAGTAAATGGCTGTTGCTAGAACAGTCTGAGACTTCAAAGAAACCTTGGCACTGAGGGGCATGTAAAGGAGCCCTGGTGGCACAGTGGGTACACGTGGGGCTACAAACCTTGAAATCAGCAATTCAAACCCACCAGGTGCTCTAGGGGAGAAAGTTAAGTCTCAGAAACCCACAGGGCAGTTTTACTCTGCCCTATAGGGTCACCAAGAGTAAGAACTGACTTGATGGCAATGACTTTTTCAGAGTGCAACCATTACATAGAAGGGATCTGGGTCCTCTGAGGGCTTCGCAAAGCAGAAATACCTTAAGAGTCCTAACTCATTTTCTCTGGACTTTGACATTAAGAAAGAACAAATATCTATTTTGTTTAAGCCACTGACTTTTCGAGGTTCTATTGCTGTTAAACCCAAATCAGTTGCCAATGAGTTGATTCCAGATTCCGATGTCAGGTGACCCTGTGTGTATCAGAGTAGACCTAGGTTCCACAGGACTTCCAATAGCCTTTTTTTCCCCCCCTGGAAATTAGTTGCTATGGCCCTTCTATCTGTAGTCTTTGCAACTCCCACTCAGGGACTGGGTAGGAATATGCAAATAAGGTATAGAGGAGTACAACTTGGAATTGGTCAGTTTGCCATTCCACTGGGTATAAAGTAAGCCCTTTCAGAAGCAGGAATGGAGAATACCGTAGCCAACAGAAACAAAAGCCTTGAGCGAAACGCATCAAGATCTCTGTGTGAAGAAGTGGTGGTGGCAACAGATACACCAGAGGTCAAGAGAAGAAGGCTTGGTTGACTTCCCAGTCCATAGAAGGAGTAAAGTGGAGGGCCTTTGGGTAGGAGGCTCCTTTGCAGAGTCTGAGGCTCGTTAGGCATTCTTCAGCATGAAAGATGTTTTATAGCAATTGCCTGAGCAGGACAGGATCCAAGGGTTCACGACGCTGAGAGACTGAGACCCAGAAAGAGATGTATCTGCCTGCCTGGCTGAGAAGAGTTGCTGTGGACAGAAGAATTGTAGCCCTAATATTTTTCTCTCCTGATTTGTAATCTGTTAACTTTCCAAATGAGCTCAGAATTGTCCTCTATGGTTATTGCAACAAATGATTGAACCCAGTAAAGAAGTAGAGTGTCATGGAGCGTCAGTTGGTGCCAGAATAAAGTTGGAGGGTGGAGGCACGCCTGACCTCTGCATTGTGGGAATTGACTTTGGGCTGCACGGAACTGGTTTCTCCTCCCATTTTGCATAGCTAAAGGTCACACCTGGGTGCCAAGTCATTTCAATATTCTCCAAGTAGCCATTTTCCCCAGGGAGTCCATGGAGCTTTCACTGGCTTCAGTACAGTCATGACTGGTGCTTTCTGGTGCAGAACCCAAGGAATAACGTATTCACCCTTAGTCCCTTGAAATCAACTCGCATGAAGCCCTACTTCTGACATCTAACCGCTCAGTACACATCCATTAGTGTCCAGGTGCCATCTGGAGCTTCTTAAACTTGTTCCACTTGAGATCCCCTTCCAAGAAGAAATTTTTACATACCCTTGAGATTATAGGTATATAAAACAGGTTTACAAAGCACACATTCACTCAAAATAAGTCCTAAGGAATTTCTTGTAACATAGTTCTTTGTGATACATATAAGTTTACCATTTATCAAAGACTAAAGCAAATTCCCATATTAATGAGATGGATATGCTGGTTTATTTTTACATAAAGAATTATTTCCTGGCACATTTGGCACTGCAGGCTCTAGAGTATCTTCAACGTCTTTCGTTGTTGACCTGACAGTTTTGATTTCAGACCCATCAGACTCAGAAACCCACAGAAGCAGTACTGCTGGGTCCCTCTGTCCTGCAGAAGTGTTATCAGTCAAAAGCAGCTCAATGGCAGTGAGTACACTTCCATGTACACCTGTTGTGGTTTATAGACGTCACAAATTGGTTCTGACTCATACGGATCCTCTGTACGACAGCAAGAAACACTGCCTTGTCTCGTGCCACCTTCTCATTCATTGCTATGTTTGAGCCCATCTTTGCAGCCTCCACTTCAAGACCTTTCATTTGGGTCCTTTCTCCTTTTTGACTCTCTTCCTTCCCAAGCAGGATGTCCTCCGGATAACTATCCTGCCTGGTAACATGTTCATAGGATATTCTTTTGAGAATTCTGCCTGTATTTCTTCTAAGAGATTTATTCATTTTTCTAGCAGTCACTGCTAAAACCACTATGATCCTCCAACGGCCTAATTCAGACACGAATTCCTCTTCCCTCTTCCTTCTTCATTTCCCAGCTTCAGCATGTCTGTGAGATGACTGAAAATGCTTGGGCTCGGCACGCCTTAGTCCTTAGTTTAAAAACCAAGCGACCTAGTTTGCATCATATTTACCCAAAGCAATTCATCCTTTCACTCCTTGACTGCTGCTTCCGTGGGTGTGCATGGTGGGTCCAAGTAAAATAAAACCTTTCACAACTTTAATCTTTTCCCCCACTTATCCTGATATTGCTTATTTGTCCAGTTGTGAAGGGTTTTGTTGTCTTTATCTTGAAGCGTAATCCAAGCTGAAGGCTTAAGTCATTCATTCTTATCAGCAAGTGCTTCAAGCCCTCTTCACTTGCAGCCACCAAGGTTATATCTTCTGCATATTGCAGGTTGTGAATAAGTCTTCCTCCAAGCCTGAGTCACGTGCCTCGTCATACAGCCCTGCCTCTCGGATCATTTGCTCAGCATACAGTTTAAATAAGGATGGCAAAATGGTACAACCTTTTCCTGGTTTGAAGCCATGTCTGTGGTAATAGTTTCTTTTAGAGGAATTAATACCAGACTAGTCCCAAGGAGTTAGAGGTTAAAGATGTCCCATATATCCAACCCTCCCAAGAGGCTATGCTGTACCCCTTGCCACCCGCCACTCCACTTCCCCCACTCCCCACCCCAGGCAGCAGCTCTTCCCTTGAGTATATTCTCTCTCCTCCTCCCGGAGTTCTGAGATTCTCTGCAACAGTCCACAGAAACTCAGGAAACTTTCAAGAAATGTCTCCCATGGCGGTGGGTGCTGCTCAATCCCAAAGAGGAAGGTCAGGCAGAAGCAAGCCAAATGCAGGGTCCAGCGCCAGAAGCCTCAAATATCCAAAAGGCACAGCAAGTCTTGTTTCTACCAAATCTCCATCAGGAAATAGAGGTCTAGCTCTTCAGGTGAGGGGACTCCTGTTAGAACTGCAGGGTGGTACCAGTATGCATACCTCATGCAAGGAACACAAAGGATCATGTCTTAAGTCACACCCTTTACTAAGGTTAAGTCATAAAAATGCATCCAAGGAGACAAAGGCTGTGGCTTGGTTTGCATCCTCTACTACAGCTTTAAATATGCCTCTCTGGGAGTTACATAATCTGGTGTCAATTTGAGGATTAAGAGTGTAGGGGTGGAATCTAGGCTGTCAATCAGGATATAG